GATGTTGATGCCAGCAGGAGTGCCGGAGCCAGCGAAGGTGAGAACATCCAGGGAGGTGAAGTCAGGTGTGAGAAACTTGTCCTTCTCGAAGGCAGGGGGCCAGGGCAGCTCCTTCAGCAGCTGTTCCGCACTTGCCACCAGCCGCTCAAACTTGGCACTCATGGCCTTGTTCACCATGGCCACAAAGCCTGCAAGGGAGGGCTGGACTTGGCCGGGTGCTGGGAGGAAGCCCACTCTACCCTACCCTCCACATGGTCCCCTCAGTCATCCTGTACATATTGAGTGCCTGCTGTGTGCAGTGACCCTGTGCTGGCTGCTGAAGAGAGCAGTGGCCCAGCGTGGCTTCTACTAGATCAGGACTCAGGCAGGAAAGCTGCAGGTGTGTGAACCTGTGTCCCTCTCAGGGCCCTGACCACCTGCCCCTTACACCTCGTCCCCGGGACTGGATCTATCTATCAGACCCGAGCCCTGGTGGGCTGTTGGCACTTTCTTCCCTCTTCCCAGGCTAATGTCTCTGGCTTCCAGCAGCTGGATACTCAGAATGTACATCTGGGGCCGAGGTGATACAGAGAAATATCTGTGTCTTCAGGCTGGATGTCCTGCCTTGTACAGGAGGTCCTTAAGGATGTGAGGATGGGGGCCGAGGCAGCCTGCCACTAGGCTGGATGGTGGGTGGCAGCAGGTATGGCTCACAGTCCTGCTCCCAGCCAATGGGCAGCTCTCAGCGAATGTGACCTCACTGATGCACAGATGCAGATTTAACTGACCCAAGGTCACATAGCCCATGAGTGGCAAAGTCTGTCTGCCTGGAGCTTATGCCCTGAGCAAACACCACAGGCAGCAAAGCAAAGCAGCTGAGAGTCAGGGTGTCTGGGCTTGGCCATCTACCACCTGTACCCCAGTTCCCAAGTCTGTGAAGTGAGAATAGAATAAAAATCCTCATAGGATGATGATATCTAAATGAATTAATATAGGTAAGTATCATATGAAGGGATTTCAAAAAGTTCACAAAAAATGGAATTAAAGTATGAGTTGATTTTCTTCTTTTTTTTAGTTTTGCTATAGGGCATGTGTGTTCAATGGAAAGAGACAGAGAGATAGAGAGGGAAAGTGAGAAATCACCCCACAGGGAAGACGGCCACATTGCAATCCCTTCTCCTCCATTCCCTCTTGGGATGTTGGGCATGCATGCCCATGTGCCTGGTGTCTTTCAAGCCACTGGGTCTGGGACTCAAATCATACAGTTGGCCATGTGGGATCTAGCACCCTAACCTGCACACCACCTGTGGGCCCAATATGAGCTTATTTGGTATAAAAGATTTGAAATCCATGCAGTTTTTTCACAGCACACACTTTCCATGAACTTTTGAAAATTCCTGGTATAACAGTGCATAATACATGGTAAGTTATGTTTATTTACTATGTCTGTATTATTAATACTGCCAAGAAGGGTGGGGAGAACCCGTAATGTGAACCTGGACATGGCAGGGGCAGTGATTCTGCACTGATCTCTCCCCTCCCCTCAGAATTACCTTCAAACTCTCCTCGGGAGCCAAAGGGGTCCCGGTAGCTCTCGATGAACCCGATGTAACTGGGGAGAGAAGGGCAGAGCTGGAGGAGGTGCTACAGGAGGGGTGAGTAGGGATGAGGGCTAGAGCCTTACCTCTCTACAATGGGGCCTTTGTCCTGGATCCAGAAGCGTGAGCCCCTTTTGTGGGCCTCGATGGAGCCCTGGGTGAAGCTTTCCATGTACTGGGCCAGCATCTGCTCCTGGTGACTGTTGGCTGCATATGCCTGGGGGTCAGCAGGGATCAGTCAGCCTCGGTCATTCACCTGCCTCATACCACCCACTGCTGTCCAGGGGGTTCCCAAGCCAATACCCCTCACTCCCACCTTAGCTTTCTCCAGGTGCTCCACCACCTTCTGGAGGATGGGGGAGTAGTCACCCCGGGTCACTTGGAAATGACTACCCCGGAATTCGTAGCTCTTCAACTTAGAGGTAACTTCAGAATCCAGAGTAGGCTCTGAGGAAAGAGGGATCACTTAGGAAAAAGGCCAGTGTGAGATGTCTCAGGCTTTCCATCTTTTTTCTTTTCCTTTTTTTTTGGGGGGGGTAGGAGGGTGGAGATTTTCGCTATAGGGCGCGTGCGCTCACCAGAAGGACAGAGAGAGACAGAGAGACAGAAAGCGAGAAATCACCCCTCAGGGGGATGGCCACATTGCACTCCCTTCTCCTCCATTCTCCTCTCGGGATCTTGGAAACGTATGCACATGCAACCAGCATGAGTTTAAGCCACCAGGTCCGGGACTCAAACCGCAGCCGACTACATGGGAGTCCAGCGACATAGCCATTACGTCAACTGCTGGTTCCTCCATCTATTTTTTTTTTAAGAATTATTTATTTAATTCCATTTGTTATTATTATTTTTTAATTGGCCATGCTCAGGAGAGAGTAGAAGTAGAGTGAGGAGAAAGGCCCACCCAGGCCTGGCTCACCTGTGCCCATGACAGAAGCCAGTCGCACCTCATAGCAGGACTTCCCTTCCTGGTTGACCTCCTTGAAGAGCCGTGTGTTATAGGCACTGAGGTTCTAGAAAAGACCAGGGCAGGGGTGTGGGGAAGAATCAGATCCAGAGAGGATAGTGAGGTAGAGGGGTTGGGAAAGTCGGTCTTCCTGGAGAGAAAAAGGCATGAAGGTGAAGGAGTCCAGGCCCTTGCAAGGGCCAAGGAGATGGGAGTTAGATGGGAGTGGGTGAACGCAGGCATGGACAGACCAGGTTAACCCTCCTGCTCTGCTCAGTTCACTGAGTACTAACTTGTGCTAAGCCTGACTCAACTATGCCAGGCACTGTATATCCTCAGCCAAGCCAAGGCTGCACGAGGTAGAAACCGTTTCACAGGAAACTGAGAACACAGGCTGGCATTCCACCAGACATGGTGACTCAGAAGCTGGCTCTACTGTTCTGCCTCATCCTGCCCCTGAGGCCATCAGCAGCCCTACAGCCTGGAGGGCAAGAGGTGTGGAGGGGAGGCTCCATCCCTAGCACATGTGGGGCAGGTAGTCATTGTCCTGGTTCCCTCAGGCTGATCTCCTAGACAAGGATTCCCCAAGCCTTCTCTACCTCAAAGACCCAAGATGCCCACATCTCTGACCCCAAGCTGAGACCCAAGAGTGGGTACCAGTGGTGAAAAGACCAGGACGAGGAGTCTCATCAAACCACTTGAGTTCCCCGCCCCTAACCTGTGAGTCCAGAAAGTCTTGGGCCAGTTTGGCATCTTCCATGGTACAATCCCCAGAGAAATAGGTGGTGATACCCTGTTGGGGCAGATGGGAAAGAGCAGTTGCTGAGTTCACAAGGTTTGCAGGGACAGCTGTTAAAGCCCTTCCCAAGGTTCCTGCCCCTGTCCCACCCTGTCCCCCTTCATCTCTTTCCAAGGGAAAAAGCTGTAAAATAAATAAAAAGATGCTCATTTCTAGCCTCTGTGCACCTCTGTTCCGGCCTCTCCCAGGCTGGCCCACCCCTGAGGCTTGCCATGGTTCTCACCCCACACAGGTCAAACAGCCTTCGGTGCAGAGAAGCCTGGGACCCTCCTCTGTCTCCATCATCCCCTCCTCAGCTGTCACCACTCCCTAGTTCTCTC